CCGCTCTTCACCCCTGCACTCAGCCCTCCTTGTGTCAACTGACCACGTCTCGACAGAGGTGGCCTGGAAGTGGGAAAAACATACCTCTCCCAAGCACAGAAGGCTTCACGCCTCCCTCTTCTTCCTCCCTGTCCTCCTGCAACTCCTGTGTGTCCAGCCCCTGCCCTCCTTCCCTGCTCTGCCTGCCTGTATGAAAAGTTGTTGCCAAATCACTGTCCTAGATGTTTGATTACACTTCTCAGTGAACTTGATACAAGAGATATGAAAAAAGTAATTTGGATAGGGAGCCCAGAAGGAAGAGACTACATATTAGGAATTTCTGGCTTTAAATAGGGCAGGAAACATTTCTAAACCCAGAGAGCATTCACCTCCATGGGCTGGTATGTTATCTTTCAAAGTCTAATGACCTAACCAGATCTTCCAGCTTTATGAATATGAACTGCATAAAGCTTCTAATAACCAGGGTTGATGTAGTCCTAGATAAGGGGAATACATCAGGAGCTCAGAGGAAAACAAGCTTGATTCTGACAAAGAAGGACTTTTCTATTAAGGAGAAAAAACCAACCCAAACAGTACACATCTCTAGTCAAATTTTCAAAGAAGCTTCTGCCATGCATGCTTAAGCAGATTGTCCATGTCCTCCAAGCCAACCCGCACACCTGCGCACACAGGCAGAGCTTCTGAGCAGGTAAAAGTCCTATGGGCACAGGACAGGTATTCAACCCACAGCAAAGCTGTCAGCACCTTGCAGCCACGTGCGCGAGTGACTGTGTGCTCAGGTGGAAAGTGTTATTTCAATAGAGACTCTGTAGAGAAATGACACAAGCCAAAAGTAGCAGCTGGGGTGCACTACAGTAAGAAACTTTTACCAGCAAAGTTTTACAACAGCCATTGGAAATGAGTGGCCAAGCAGAAAACAGCCTGGTGATGTACTTATGTTCCCGAGGTCGTATCCCATCAAAGCTAAGCTGGAAAATAAGCAGTATCTATCTGTGGAGAGCCAGACAGCGGGAAACTCTCCCAATCATTGCTACTTGTCTGCCACACAAGCAGGCTGCTGGACGGAGGCCTCTTCATCCTGCCCTTCACTGCTGTCACTACCAGCTAACGCAATCCAACTACACCAGGCCATAGCTTGTGGCCACTCTGGTGGGCACGCTCTCCTTTCACAGCCAAACTGAGTCTGGGCAGACTGGTTGCCTTCATCACGGAAGGGCAGTTAGAGGAATAAATATGCTGATCAGAGGCATTCAGGTGAGATAGCTACAGTATTTTAAATTCACATCTCATTTTTATTTTACAGTCCTTTCTTTGAGCAGATAAGCCTGACGGTTTCATGGTTGCCATTTAGAAATACACAGGCATGTCTGACTGGAGCCATCTGCTTTCAGACTGGGGAGGACAGCCTGGCTTCTGGCCATATTTGGATGTTTCTTTGCAGCCATATGGAAGAAAAATAGTTTCAAACTGGAAATTTCAACATGGAGGAAGTGGCTGCAGAGGTCTCTGACACTGGGTGAGGAGGTCAGCGAACACCCCAGGCCAAGCTATGCTGCCACGTGGGCTGGGCAGTAGCTATGCCTGTGGGGACAGGGAAAACAGGGAACAGACTGGTAAGATGCCATGGGCACTGGTGCTAAACCGGGTGTATGTAGCACTTTGGGAATGCTTTGATGGGAGGAAGAGAGTAGCGGGCTAACACGATCTGCAGGGTCCTGGCACAAGGCTGCAGAGCACGTGGCGCTGAGCGAGGGTTGGTGGCAAGGGTGAAAGTGGGTACAACGCTTCAAACCTACATACATTCAAAATCTCTCTCATTGTAGCTGCGTCTTTGCTTCTCCAGATTGCTTGATGCTGACTTGCTTATCAGGTCCCCAAATCTCTCGATTGACAAAGTCTTATCCAAGTCCTCATCGTCCTCGGCACCAGGAGAGGCTTTCTCTGCGCGACCTCTGCCCTGTACAGAAATCGCCAGACAAGAATAAAACACTGCAGACCCTACAGCCCTCTGGATTCTCCTGTCCTCCAAACGGTGCTGGGCTTGCTGCGGAGCAGCAGGCTACACACGACAGGGCTGGGGCATAGTTTCTCACCTAGAGGCACAGTTCTGCTCAAAACCAAGAGTCAGAACAGATCAGCAAGCCTCCAAGCCACACTCTGCAGAGATACCTTAGCAGTCCTCCACACCTCCCTTGAGTGGCAGGCATCAAGGGACTATGTCAGTGCCTGTCTTTCCTACTAGAGGAGACTCATAGCTTTTGTTTAGCTGGAATTTCCCTCTCCTCTCATCTAACTGCTGCCCTCTGGCCTTCCCTTTGCCCAGTCTGCCATCCCTCTTGTTTCTTAGACCTCCTCTGTACTTCCCCCTGGGAAACAGCATCCCTGCTCTGGTGAGCTGCCCTTGGGTCAGTGACCACCCTGTGCCTTCCCACCTCCCCTCCACACTCCTACGGGACCCCCACTCCCCTTGGCATGCTTTCTTCAGGTTTTTCTGCCCATTTTCCTCCTGTTTCAGGCTATGGGCACTCCTCTGCCTTTTGCTGGTAGAGACACTCCAAGAAGAGCATCACCAGGTGACCCTTGTCCTTTCTGCCTCCAGAGCAGTTGCAGCTGGTAAAATTTTCCGTCAATACAGCTGAAATGCCAGAGCGGAGCTGTTGTGGACTCCCGTGTTTCCATGGAAACAGGAGGAGGCCCAACTGTGACAAATCTGTCTGTGCTGGGCGGAAAGAGGGAGCAAGGCAGCTTTAGCCGAGTTGCGCCTCTCCTCGCATCCTCCAGCTGTTCCCAGCTGTGCCCCTGGAGTGGCTTTGTATCTGTGGGTAGGACTGCTTCTCCTCTCACCTTAGCATGGGTGTCCCAAGCCCAGCCTAAGTGGGAAGAGTCTAATTGCAAGCTGCCCAGCTTCTCCTGCCGCTTGCCTACCCCACTGAATGGCATGTGAAGTCACATGGAACCCCACAGAGCAACCTCTGGCCTTTTCTGGACCACAGTTTGCTGTCTGCATGGACAGGGGATGTGGGCTCGTGGGCAGCCCTGGGGCACCCTTTGTGCAGACCTGTCCCCGGTGAACAGAGGCTGTGTCTCCTACTGCAGCAGGCTGCCAGGACCCAGGTCCTGCAGTCAGCCTGCCAGGAGCACGGTCCCCGGGGAAGAGACAGCCCCGGTGCTGCTGGATTCCCACCTCACCTGCTGCAGGTCGATGAAGACATCTCCTACGGGAGGGGACTCTCCAGCTGCCATTTTGGTTCAGGACCTAAGGGCCTGGGCAAAATATCAACCCTTCTCTTTCACCGGCAGGCACCCAGCAAACCTGGAGAGTGGCATAACCTGTGGAGAGAGGGCAGGACAAGGGAATGTCGTGGGAGACTGCTGGCCATTGCCCTCAACCCCCCTGTCTCCTAACCCAGAGAGGTCACCTCACCGGCCCTCGGGGAACCTCCCCGGCATCACGAGGACAGGACTGTCCCCTGGCTCACTCCAGCGAGGGGGCGAGAACAGCCCAGCCCGCACTGCTTCGTGCACCGGCTCCAACAGCTCAAGGGCAGGTGTGACCCCGTCCTCCTCCAAATGACCCGCTGCGTGGAGGGTGCAGGGGCTGATGGAGACAGCGGCTACACATAGCTCCTGCACCGGCTGGGCGAGAGAAGGGAAGGCTTCCTGCTCAGCCACCTCTGTACCACCACGTCTGTGCAAAGCTGGGGTATGACTGACCGCCGGGGAAGGATAAAGTTGGAGAGATCGGGTGCTGGGAGGGCATGCCAGGAGCAGGCAGCAGAGTGGTCCTGTGCCACCTAGCTTTAACTGGGCAGATCCTAAAATGGCCAGAAGGAACCTCAGAGAAATCTGTGCGGCCAGAGGGATGGCACAAGGACAAACAGTTCATCGTTCAAACACCAAACACAAAACAACACGTTACAGGGACAGAGTCTGCACATCTGTGCCCTGTCTGCACTGGCGCGGCTGAGGGATGCAGAAGACCCCGCGGGCAGCCCGAGGGAGCACTCTGCTCAATAAGCAACGGCAAGTGAAGAAGGCAATGAGGTGCCACAGTTGACAAGGAGCGGGACGGAGACCAACATAGAAATAGCTGTAGTCATATCATCTACTGCAATGGCACAGCCTAATCTCAGCATGGGCTACATCCCAGGAAAAACTGGAGATGGCACAGAAACTGGCACTGCGAAGATACCGACCTCCAAACACTCATCTGAATTCATACAGAGAAGGAGAGAAGATGTAAGCACATGCCCAGTGCTTTGGACATAGGGATAAGCGAAGTGTTCTCATCTCACAGCACAAGAAAAGGGACATTCGTTAAAACTGCAAGGGTAGAATACAAATTAATTCAAAACTGGCAAAAGAAAACTTTTTTTTTCAGTGATGTCATCGAGGAGGAAAAAACTGCAAAGTCAGAGGATGGCTTAGCCATGTCTCTGGGTAACAAATTGTCATATTTATGACAAACAAAATTAAGTGAAGTTAAACCCATCTTTCAGAACAAGCTATTCTCCAGCTCTGAAAGCTTTGGAAGAAGTACTATAGGTTATATCCTGGTGATCTGCTGAGAGGTTTCTTACTATCTCATCTGAAGTACCTAGTATGGGCCACTGTTCAATACAGGCCACTAAAACACTAAAACAGATGGTCTAAAGATGACACCAGTAAGGCCACTTCATCATCCCTCCTTCTATCTTTGAAGATCTCCAGAAAGTGCTACTACAGTCTCTGCTTACTCTGCCTACCTGAAGAGCTTATTCAAACCAAAAAATTAGCTTATCTAAACCAAAAATCCTGGGGCCATCTGTAAGGCAAGTTTTTGAGAAGCTAATCTGACCGCTGATGAAGCATGCTCCCTTGGTCCACCCTCCTAATTATCAGGAACAAGACAAAACTTAATGGAAGAAACCCCTCAAACGCACCTCATTGGACTCTTCAGTAATTGAATCCCTCCAGGAGACCTGAACACCTCAAGAGAAATATGCTGCCAAGACAGACGTCTAAAAAGCAAACGCAGAGTCCAGGCCATAAAGAACAGGACAGAAAGGAATGAAAATATTCAGTCCACTCTGCAGATCTTAAGCTGTAATCTTCAACTTCACAGGCTGTTTTCCAAGAAAGATAGAGCAAAAGAGTTGTGAGAGAGAAAGCAGAAAAAAGGAGAAAGGTCTGGAAATCATCTGTAAGCAGAGACTGAGCTGCTTTTTAGTTGGAGACATCATAGAAAAAAGGGTAATACATGGCTTTTATTTCTTTTCACATTTAACTCAAGAAGAGGGTATCATTCCATGAAAGCAAACAGCAGCACACTTGAAACTGAAGGCAAGGAACGCTTTATTCCAGTGGGAAGAGCTGGCGGGGAAACCTGGCTCTGCAGTCCTGCAGGGCCACGGCATCTGCACTGTTAAAGAAAAGATTGGATATTTGTAAGGAACAAAACATCCACTGCTACAGACTGCCTGCAAAAACACGTTGCAAGCACTACTACTTCAGGGAATAAAATGATGACAGGGCTTTGGACGGCAGCTCCTGTAGTGGCAGAATCCCTAAGAACTAGCAAAACAGTAATTTAACAAAAAAAATGCTAATGCTCAGCTACACCTCTGTGCCACTAATGTGCCTTGTGGGGCTTCCAAAGGAAATTGCAAACTATCACCAATGTTGTGAAGCAATATGCCTTGTTTCAGGTCAAGCTCAGGTTTGCTTGGAGAACTGCTGGATGCAATGAACTCTGCTGGCTCCAGCTTTGCAAGATGTTACACTGAGTTTAAAATTACAGCCTGATTGCCTAAACAAAGTTAAAAGGGAGGGAAAACCCAGCACTTAGCCCTCCTTTACCCACCAAAGCAGTGTTTTCTGAAATACGCTGAAAATGTCACTCTAATGACGCTGCTGAACAGCTAAAAGCAAGACAGTTGTACTAGCAGTAAAGTAAGAGAGCCCTGGGGACCTGCTTTGAAATTTCAAAGAGACTGCAAGGTGCCCACGGGGTTTCTGTCAATCCCTCGCTCATCACCCCGTGTAAGCAGGAGGTGATGCATGGGCACCTCGAGCCGGCGGGGGCTTGGGGACAGAGCTGCTGGGTCTGCCCCTCTGGAGCCGAGAGAGGGGCGAGGATGGGAGGCACGTTCTCCTGTCCTAACCCTACCAGCTCTCCTGCCTTCTGGAGAAGGGAGAGCCCATGGCCTGGGAGCACTGGTAGGCTAATGGCTGGCTGGCCACCAGAGGCCACTTGCCCCTTACCCTCTGCAACCTCTGGGAGGAAGGCTCGATGGACACCTACTCGGATCTGGCCTGGTTTTTCTATTACCCACAACAGATGGAGTTCAGAGAAGATCAACAAAAAATTGCCAGTAGGCCAGAGGGATTGATTTATAAGGAAAGGTTAGGAGCTAAATTTGTCTAGCGCAATATGGGATGACTAAGATGGGGAGGGGACAAGCCAGCAGTCTGGAAAGATCTCAAGGGTGTACAATACAACTAAAGATTATTTATTTTTTTTCAGGATGCCTTGCACAAAGAGACTTAGAAATGGGTTAAAATTTAAAAGAGAAACTTAAAATGAATATCAGGGAGAATTCTGCTAATGCACATCATGCTGAAGCTCCTAGCCTGCTGGCATCACTGCCTGGGCTGCTATAAGAAGAACACAAGACAAAAGGGAAAGAAAAAGAGAGAAACAGCGAAGAACACTAAATGAATGATACCTTCATCCTACTGTATCTCCTGGTTGTTGGGAGTACGTGATTCAGCATTACTGCTAGAAGCAATTATCAGTAATAGAAGCATCATGCCAGCAGGCCAGATTCGAAGGGAGGCCAGAAAAATCCACAGCCTGCCGACCTGTGCGCACTCACAGCTCCCTGCTCTCTGTCCAAGCGCATCGGGAAACAGAATTGGCTCACCTAAATCACCGTACTAACCATCTAGGCTAAACGAACGCTGAAGGAAAGCAAGCAGGCATGCCCCTGCAATGCTGGTAGCTATGGCATCTCCCACATGTTGCTAACAGGGACTCCAACAGGGCTTCCCCTGACCCCTAAAGGCTGCTTCACAGTGCCAGCACAGGAGCTTTCCTGTTTTGCTGTGAAAAATGCATCTGGCATGTCTTCAAGGGGCAGAGGCGAGCAGTTCACGCTGCCCCTTTGCAGTACAGATGAGCTGGGAGGGCTACAGCAAGCTGCCCCAGCTCCGTGGGCAAGGGGCTGCACGGAGACAGCCATCAGGCCCCGCATCCATCTCCTCAGCTCTTCCCTAATCCCCTGGCCATCGGGCTGAGAATAATTTAGCTGTGGAGCGTCTAGACAAGGAGTGGATGTTAGGATAGGGATAAAGCCACAGGGGCAAAGCTGGTTTGAGGACAGAGGAGGAGAAGAGACTCTGGCTGATGGACACAGACGGCAAGAGCTCAAGAAGGAGAAGGATTAGAGAGAAGCCTGGGAAGATTTTCCTGGGAAGACATACTGATGAGCCTGTCCATGGAGGAGAGGAGCAGGAGGGGTGCTGCTGCGAACACCGAAGCATTCGGATGCTGCTGCGATAGTCGCAGCCTCAAAGCCGAAGGAAACGGGAGCGGGCTGCACAGCCCCTACTTCTCCCCTGCCATGGCAGAGGAACAGGCACACCAGAATGAAAAGGCAGCGCATAAGATGGCAAACACACAAAGTTTTCGAGCATGAAGGATTTAACCTGTGGATCTCTCTGCCACATGGCTACGCTGGAACTAAGAATACAGATGCATGTTATAAGGCTTAAATATTTCAGTGAATCCTATACCCTACTGAACCAACCTGGATAAACCACCGTAGCCATTCACTTCTGAAGCACCTGCTCCGTTCCCTGCCTCTCCCTTCACAGAGGCACCGGACGGGACGGAGCTCACACAGCGACGGACACAAACACCAACACACGGGAACAAAACCCACTCCCGAACAAAGTACCAGCACCAGACAGTGACAGAGGCCCCCCTCCACTGGACGTACAGACAGCCCTGACAGACACACGTACAGCCGGGGGAGTGAAGGGCCGTAGGCAGGCACTGGGAATGCACTGCACCATGTACCGTGCCGTGCCGTGCCGTGCAACCCGTACGGTGCAGTGCGTGGGACCACACCACGCCGTGCAGCATCCAGCACCGGGCACTGTGCTGCATGCTGTGCCATGCCCCATGCCATGCACCGCTCTGCTCCATGCCATGCCATGCCATGCCATGCCAT